TGTCCGCTTGTCTTCATTGTGCCTCAAACCTATCAGACTATACTAGCCATGACAAACTTTGACCTAAAGTACAGCATGGCTGTAAGTAAATCTTACGACAATCTTTGCTTGGACCTAAAGGCGGAACTTCAGCTATTGCGTGTGGGACGTGGGTGGGGGAAACGAGAACTCCGTTCGCAAACCCTTTGGGAATGTCACTGTCGCTTGAAAGTTGCCAAGCTGGGAAAAGACTACAACCATTCCATTTCATGTGATCGGATGGAATCAAAGACAAGACAATAGTATTGTTTACCAGCACAGAAAGAAAAGGTACAAAGAGAGGGGAGCGTCCGGAACACCGCAATGCTATGCCAATAGGATCCAATAGGGAAGTTGGTACGGCAGCTGGGATTTTGCTGCAGCGCCCCTGCTCGGTCCGCAACAGTGAACAGCCAGTAGGCGTGGACACTGCTGGCGAACTTCAAGGTACTTGAGGCTTTAGACTGCAAACAGGACAGTCTGCAATGTGTAAAAGATCCAACACGCCCACTCTTACATTGCAAGAGGAAGTTCGCTGAAATCCATCGAAGCCTGAATTAAAGGACCGGATAACCCCACATGTTACCAACTTCTTTAGACTTAGACTGACCATAGAAGAGCAAGAAGGGAAGAGGAAGTATAAGAGTGATGGAGCGGTGATGGTGGGTGAGTTTGTGTGTATGTATGTATGTTCATGTACAGTGAGGGAGTGAGAGTGTGAGTGAGTGATGTGAGTGTGGTGTGTGTGAGTGAGGGATGTGAGAGTGAGTGAAGTGAGTGAAGTGAAGTGAAGTGAAGTGAAGTGAAGTGAAGTGAAGTGAAGTGAAGTGAAGTGAAGTGAAGTGAAGTGAAGTGAAGTGAAGTGAAGTGAGTGAGTGGGTGAGTGAGTGGTGAGGTAGGGTGAGGTAGGTGAGGTAGGTGAGGTAGGTGAGGTAGGTGAGGTAGGTGAGGTAGGTGAGGTAGGTGAGGTAGGTGAGGTAGGTGAGGTAGGTGAGGTAGGTGGGGTAGGTGAGGTAGGTGAGGTAGGTGAGGTAGGTGAGGTAGGTGAGGTAGGTGAGGTAGGTGAGGTAGGTGAGTGAGTGAGTGAGTGAGTGAGTGAGTGTGAGTGAGTGTGAGTGTGAGTGAGTGTGAGTGAGCGTGAAGCCTCCCATTAACGTCCCCACCACCGGCCAACGTGGTGTCGGCTCGACCGAAGCCGAACCGTTTGGTAAGGACGAAGGCATCGACCTCAGTGAAGAAACAGACTTAGACGGAGCACAGAAAGCGAGAAGGGAAGAGGAAGGATAAGAGTGATGGAGGGACGATGGTGGTATGTATGTAGGTAGGTAGGTAGGTATGTATGTATTTAGGTATCTATGTATGTATGTACGTAGGGTAAGTTGTTTGTGAGTAAGTTGCTTCGCTTTCATCGAGTTCCACCAGGCTCTGATGTTTTTTTTCCGACACACTATCAAAACGATGGTGTGCTCACCATACTTCCGCTGACCAAAGTAATGTTCTGCACTCTTTCGAGCGCAGCCGCACATTTTGTGATCTCTTTCTGCATGCCCTGTGGCTGGTAAACATCGCTGGCACATGATGATGATGATGATGATGGTGATGATGATGATGGATGATGATGATGATGATGTATGTGAGTGAGTGAGGGAGTGAGTGAGTGAAGTGAAGTGAAGTGAAGTGAAGTGAAGTGAAGTGAAGTGAAGTGAGTGAGTGATTGAGTGAGTGAGTGGGTGAGTGGGTGAGTGAGTGAGTGAGTAAGTACATGTTCCACGCCTGCCAGGGCGATCTGACCCCTTGGCAGTGAGCTGAGCGGCGGAGACCCATGCCTCCCACGCAAAAGACGCGGAGCCCCAAGGGACGTTGGGGCGTACATCCGACTCCTTGGCAGTGCGCATTGTCCCACGCCTGCCACGCAAAAGACGTGGAGCCCGAGGGACGCCAGGGCGTACATCCGACCCCTTGGCAGTGCACATTGTCCCACGCCTGCCACGCAAAAGAGGCGGAGCCCGAGGGACGCCAGGGCGTACATCCGACCCCTTGGCAGTGCACATTGTCCCACGCCTGCCACGCAAAAGAGGCGGAGCCCGAGGGACGCCAGGGCGTACATCCGACCCCTTGGCAGTGCACATTGTCCCACGCCTGCCACGCAAAAGACGCGGAGACCCAAGGGACGCCAGGGACGTACATCCGACCCCTTGGCAGTGCACATTGTCCCACGCCTGCCACGCAAAAGAGGCGGAGACCCAAGGGACGCCAGGGCGTACATCCGACCCCTTGGCAGTGCACATTGTGCCACGCCTGCCACGCAAAAGCGGCGGAGACCCAAGGGACGCCAGGGCGTACATCCGACCCCTTGGCAGTGCACATTGTCCCACGCCTGCCACGCAAAAGAGGCGGAGACCCAAGGGACGCCAGGGCGTACATCCGACCCCTTGGCAGTGCACATTGTGCCACGCCTGCCACGCAAAAGCGGCGGAGACCCAAGGGACGCCAGGGCGTACATCCGACCCCTTGGCGCACATTGTCCCACGCCTGCCACGCAAAAGAGGCGGAGCCCGAGGGACGCCAGGGCGTACATCCGACCCCTTGGCAGTGCACATTGTCCCACGCCTGCCACGCAAAAGAGGCGGAGCCCGAGGGACGCCAGGGCGTACATCCGACCCCTTGGCAGTGCACATTGTCCCACGCCTGCCACGCAAAAGAGGCGGAGCCCGAGGGACGCCAGGGCGTACATCCGACCCCTTGGCAGTGCACATTGTCCCACGCCTGCCACGCAAAAGAGGCGGAGACCCAAGGGACGCCAGGGCGTACATCCGACCCCTTGGCTGCTCACATTGTGCCACGCCTGCCACGCAAAAGCGGCGGAGACCCAAGGGACGCCAGGGCGTACATCCGACCCCTTGGCAGTGCACATTGTGCCACGCCTGCCACGCAAACGAGGCGGAGACCCAAGGGACGCCAGGGCATACATCCGACCCCTTGGCAGTGCACATTGTGCCACGCCTGCCACGCAAACGAGGCGGAGACCCAAGGGACGCCAGGGCGTATATCCGACCCCTTGGCGGTGCACATTGTCCCACGCCTGCCACGCAAAAGAGGCGGAGACCCAAGGGACGCCAGGGCGTACATCCGACCCCTTGGCGGTGCACATTGTGCCACGCCTGCCACGCAAGTGAGTGAGTGAGTGAGTGAGTGAGTGAGTGAGTGAGTGAGTGAGTGAGTGTGTGTGTGTGAGTGAGTGAGAGTGAGTGAGTGTGTGTGTGTGTGAGTGAGTGAGTGAGTGAGTGAGTGAGAGTGAGTGAGTGTGTGTGTGTGAGGAGGGAGGACGGGAAGGAAGGAGGACGAGGAGGAGCGGATACAGAACTAAAAACAAAAACCCCACACGTCAATGTGGGGAAAAACTTCGCAGAAATGTCAGCAAATCAATGAAACAAAAGTGGAAAAGTTATGAAAAGTTCTCTATTTTCATGACATGTTCCGCGCATCGAAAAATGGCCCTGGAATCACCCAGGGCTCCAGGCAACTACGAGGCCATCTGTGGGTTTGGCTCTTCTCTGCTGAGGAACCTGCTCCCGGTGTACGGAACTGTTGACTTTGAGGGTTGATCAAACTTACGAACCTTCTATACATATATATATGTGTGTGTGTGCGTGTGTTATCTATATCATATACATTGTGTGTATATGTGTGTGTGTATGTATCATCATATATTAACCATTGAATCTCTTGAGATTCCTTCTATTCTGGCTGTTTTTGTTTGTCCTTCCGTGGCATTCCATTGTTGAAGATGTATGATGGGTGATGATGGATGGATGTATCAAACACATCAGGCCGCACCTGCACGAAGCTGTTGCGATATTCCGCCTTGGAGCCGTGGAGCGTGTGCTATGGACATGTTGCATCATGTGCCTCCGGGTGTTGCATCCAAGACGTAATCTGCCTTCACAAATCTGATGTTGGGGGATGGGTTGGCGTTGGGGATGCTTTCAGGCTTGGGACTTAGTCTTTGTTGCCAGTTACTAATCTAGAGAACCTACATTCACACACGGAACCTTTGTGACAATGGCCAGCGCCCCCCTGTCAAACTGGCAGGAAACCAGCAGGGCGGCCAACACAGCAAGCGCCAGAAGGAGTCGCCAGCATGGCTTTGAGTGCTGGAAGCTTCTCATCCCAAGCCACAAGATGCCACAAGTCAACCTACTGACGTGCTAGCAACCTACTTTCCACTGCGATCATGGACATTGACCATAACAGACAAGAGCTTAGCCATTCAAAGGATATGCCACTGTCACCACCGTGAATAAGACACAATAGAAACGTTGACAAACACTGAAATACAAACAAATTACAGTACGCAGAAAAATGTGGCATGCATCATACAGACACTGTGAAGTGTTGCTGGTGCTGTCATGTCTTCCACTTTGGCAATGCAGTCTTGCTACCGAATGTGTTCAGTTCAGTTCACGTTCTGAACCAACTTACCAACTATATAAGTACTTTGAAATTCGCACAGATCAGAGAGCCAATTTGAATCGAACAATATGGAAATGACTGTGGCCGCGGAGATCTGTGCTGGCAGGCATTACACCAAGTGACCCATGCACTTCAAAGGCCTGAACTTGGGAGAATGAAAAATAGAAAGGTAGTCCAAAAGTTGAAGGCCTGCATTGCCGATCAATGGGTCCGGCCCCCCTCCCAAACAAACCAAATGAACCTGAGTATCAGAGTTCATGTCAGCTACCCAAGTAGGGGTACGTCATAGGTAAGATCTATGCCACTATGCCCGGGAATATCGAGAAAAACATGGCCTTCCTTTTGAATGTCACAACATCTCACTCTTGTCCATGGCTCATTGAAAAATCCATCATGCACATTTACCTCTTACTGACATCATCAAGTAAAGTGGATGTATCTGCCATCCATGGCCATTTGCAATTGAACAATCAAATCCGCTGTCGGCCGTCGGCCCCACTTTGCTGCCGTTTTTTGGCGCTGACTCGTCTCAGCCGTGCCAGGTTCTGCCTGGGCCAGTCGGGCTTCAGTAAAATAATTATATATATATGTGTGTGTGTGTATATGTATAACCGTAATTGTAGGGGTTATATCCCAACGTTTGGGGGTTACCTAAAATATAGTTGTACTCATGAATAACCTCGACTGCCTCAAAAAATATCAGAAAGAATCGGCTTGCAATATGCCAGTTGAACCTGGTATAGTGCTACACAAGACATCATGAGCTCCAGACCGAGCTAAGCCCTAGCTTTCAGTTTTGCTTTCTTTTCCCTCGCCTGCGGCAAACATGTCAGGCTCTTCAGCTTAAGGGGCTGTTGGGATCGGGATCCTTTTTAAGTAGTCAGAACCTAGGGAATTCGGTGTAACAAGGTAGGCCATATCTCATGGGGACATGAAGGCTTTGCACTTTATACCCCTAATTGAAACCATTTGGCAAAGTCTACTTGTCCAGTTTCCAAGTTGCTCATCATGCATTCACAATTGGAAGCCGTAGCCGATTCTTATCTCATTGGGTTAGCTGCGATAAAAATCTGGTGTACCAAGACACTCTTGACTGCAAATGTAAAATGCTTCAGCAGTTGGGATGGTGAGCATCCATCACTTTCCCATGATTGGCTTGGTCCCAACATCTCATTGTAATGTTTATATCTATGTATCTCAGATCTCTTTTTTATCTATCTATCTATCTATCTGTCTGTCTGTCTATCTATCTATCTATATATCTATCTATCTATCTATCTGTCTATCTATGGAATTAACTGATAATTTTGTTTAGTAATAAAGTTACTTAGTTTCATAGATGTTCCTGCAAATGATGTGGCCCGTACATTTGCATTGCATGGCCCGTCTACATACATAAACCAGCAAGGTGCAAATGTGTGCATATATATATATACATACTATATATATATGTATATCACACTGATATGGTGTACTTTAATATACGTGAGTATCATATATATTCCTCCGGTCATCCGGTACTCAAAGATCGCAATGGACTCCATCCCCGATAAATGAGGTTTCATAGCTGGGAAAATAATCTATAAATCCGGGATCATCCATTGCCAGGTGGCAGCACCTTCAGCTCATCGCTGTCGACGGAAGCCGACCTCTGGGGCTTGTGGCCCTCCAGAATTGCATTTTTTCATAGGAAAATGGGGATAAACTATGGGAAATGGGGCTGCCCTATTTTCCAAACAAACAAATGCACCTTTTCACAGTTATCTATGTACAGTTGTTGGAGTTCAAGCATTGGTGACTGGTGCCTGGTGGGTGATACTGGATTGGAGGTTCAAATTTATCCCAAACCAGAAACCGCAACGTCTGCCTGAGAAAAGGGTCTGCGCAAATACCATGTACGAAGTGCAAAGTGCAGAGACCGAGATTGGTGGTTCCCATCCACAACAATCGACCGGATTCAGGAAAAATCAGCTACCGGACGGAGTAGGGCTACCGTTTCATGTTGATTCGGGATATGTTGATATCATTGTGGTTCCCATCTTGAAGCAATTTTTTCGGGGGAATTCAACGGCCACAGCTTCGGAAGCTTGGTCCGCTGTAGCACGGACAAAATATCACCCTCTAGACTCTAGAATTGGATTGGAAATGTCGCAAGGATACCATGGAACACCACGTATTGCAATGGTAAAAGGATGAAAAACTATGGTCTTCTGCGGGTTGGCCTGCCATGACATTCGTCAAATTGTTGTTGCATGTCTGTTGGACGGTAACATTGCAGCAATTTGCCGAACATCTTCCAAATCAATCAGGTGTCGCATCACCCCTCCACAAACTGTTACATCAGGTGAGCCAAAGCACACAGAGCTCCTTACTTTGACGCAACAATGGATGCATAAAAATGCGCAAACCCACATTACATGCCTGGATCGCTTCTTTCGATCATCCTTCTCTCTCCCTTTCTCCTTCTCCTTCTCCTTCAAGTACAGAACTTTTGGCCAAGGATGCAAGCTAGAAAATGCTGGTACATGTTCCTGTTCAAGCTCCTGAGATTCATGGTATGGTATGCAATGCAATGCAATGCAATGCAATGCAATGCACTGGATGGATGGATGGATGGATGGATAGATGGACGGATGGATGGATGGATGGAGGGATGATGGATGTATGCACATGTGTGCATATATATATACATATGTTTGTGTGTGTGTGTGGCTGGGAGTGGTTATGTGTGTTTATACATGCATATCTATATCATATGTATATATATATATGCGTGTATATATATATATAAATATGTGTGTGTGTGCATATCTGTGCATGTGCGTGTCTGTGTATGTATACGCATTGTACATATATACATATTATTACATATTGAGTCTACCCTAATAGCTGTAACAGCCATCACGATCTAGACCACGCGCACGAAGGGGAGTACCAAAAAGCACAAGCTAGACCAATTTTTTTGCACGACGGAAAGCACCAAAAAGCATGATTTTTTGCACAAAGGAAAGCACTCAAAAGAAAGCTTGCCCAAAATATAAAGAAATCCTATTTTTGACCGCTATTAGGACAGTTACAATACACATATACTGTTTGTGCGCATGTGTATGCCTGTTTTTTTCACATGCACACGGTATACATATGCCTGGGACCCAAATGAGCTGTATTTTGAATGGTTAAGCCTCCATCTGATGGACTCCAGACCTTTTGGTTTGTATGCTGAGAGCCTGTGTGTGGTTACATGATGGGACACGCACATGTGCATCTATCGAATCTACATCATCAATGTGTATGCCACTTCTAGGAATGTCTGGGGAAAGGATTCGAAAAGGGTGAAATACATGCACGTGCCATGATATGCTTGCATATGCATGTGGTTCTAAATGCTGGACCTGCAACTGGGGTTCACAGTGTTACCTGCCTTCGTCTTGTCTTTTTGCTTATCCTTCGCATTCTCCTTTTGCTTTGCCTTTTCCTGCTCCTTCTGTTTCTCCTTCGCAATCTCCTTTTCCTTCTTGCTCTTCTCTTGCTCTTTAGCCTTGGCCTCCTTCTCCTTCTCACGGCTTTTCTCTTCCTTCGATTTGGACTCCTTGGGCTCCTTGAGCTCCTTGGGTTCCTTTGATTTGGCCTTGTCCATCTTGTCCATCTTGTCCATCTTCTCCTCCTTCATGTCTTTCTTGGCTTTGTCCGCCTTTTCGGCCTTCTGTTTGGTGTCCTTGCTCGACTTGGCCTCTTTGGCCTGACGCTTCTTCTCCTCGGTGGTGCCATCGGGTGCGTCTGAAAATGGGGCAGGTATACCCCTAGTTCCATAATATAACACTTTTAATAGGGAAAATGAAAGAAAATGATGATTGTAACCAAATTAAGCATCAAATTTAGGGATACCCTATATCTATTTTCAGACAACCCCTAAATAGGGCAAAAAAATAATGCCGAAACTCTGGATTGCGGGATACCCTGCACGAGTCAAGATCTTATTTTCACCCATCTTTGAGGATGGCACCCGACTACGCAACAATTGCCGTCCGAAAGTCCCTGTTGGATGGATGAAACACATTGAAATACAACCTGTCGCATTCTTTTCTCAAGAAGCATACCGCCTTTAGGAACTAAACACCAACAAGGTCTGGAAAACAGCAGCTGGCCCAGATTCTTTCTGTTTTCGTTCCTCCTCTTCCTCCTCGAGCTTCGCTTGCTCTTGCTCGTCCAGGCTTTTTTGCTCCTCAGCAACATGCGCCTCGAGTTCTCTTTCCAGCTGCAGCCTGAGTGGTTCAAGGCAGGAAATGGAGCATGCCAGAATTAGCTTGAGCAAAGGGTCACAAGGTATTTGGGTTGGGCGTTTAAAACATGGGTTTCCCTTGCAGGAGAATTCCCCCCGAGTCAATCCCTCCAGGTCTAAGAGTCCAAGATGTCTAAGAGCCAAAAGAGCCACAAGAGCCCATTTCCACAAATCACCAAGCAGCTCTAACTCCCGCTGCTTGTCCATCCTCTTCTGCTGCTCATCCTCCAGTTGCTGCTGGATATCTCGCTGCAGTTGGGACATGGCCGCGGCAGCCTGGTCATCCTCAGCCTTCTCGGCCTTGTCTTCTTTGGACGCTCTCTTTTCGGAAGGAGACGCATCTCGGTCCTGATCCAGGTCCAACATGGTCAGCACGCAAGTCTTACCCCAAAATCCGGCCAAAACGGGCATATGGGATTGGAGGGTCACCACTGCAAGAATTCCCAAGTCATAGGGATCATGCGGCAGCACTAGCTGCCTGCCAAGAGATGGTGTAATGATGAAAGAACATGCCAATATGACACTGATGACTCATGACTCTTTTTTCAGAACTTCCTCAAGTAGTTCTTGAAGAGTTTCTTGCTTGAGGTACTTTCCTTATCTGTAGATGAGGGGATTGTTACTTGCATCTAAATCATGGCAGCGCCAACGACCACCGCTTCAAACCAAGATAGCCATCACCTGTTTCAGACACACCCCAGGTCCTTTCCATCTTCGCGACCTTTGTCACGATCACGGTCTTCTTTGTGTCGACTTCTATCTCTGCTTTTGGACCGATCACGGTCACGATCCCTCCGATCCCGGTCCCCTCGGTCGCGGTCCCGATCGTTGCGGTCCCGATCCCTACGGTCGCGGCTGCGATCACGGTCATCCCGTTGATCGCGGTCGTCCCGCCGGTCCCGACGGTCATCGCGCCGGTCATCGCGCCGGTCACGGCGCTCGTCCCGACGGTCGTCGCGACGATCGTCACGACGATCCACCCGCCGGTCGCGGCTCCGGTCACGGCTGCGTCGACCTCGACTTCGGTCGCGGCGGCTCCTGATGTGCTGTGGCTCATACCATCTCATACCATCTCATACCATCTCATACCATGCCACAGGTACAGCATTAAGTGCATTGAGAAAATGAAAATACACATAAGATCACATAAGCACCACCGAACACCAAGGTCTAGGAGACCTGTCAACTCTTCACCCAGCCTGGACTTTCTCTTGCTTTCAGATCTACTGGTTTTCCTCCTTGGTTAGCCCGGATGTTCCACCATCTTGTGGCTAGATCTTCAACAGTGATGTTTCTGCCCACTTTGGTCTAGTTGCCATCTCCATGTTTTTCCCCTTAAGTTCTCAGCGGTAGAACCTACTGGCTGTCGACTCTCGGCATCCGGACTTCTTCGCCTGACTTTCACTGGAGCTGCTGGACTTCTTCTTCGACCTATTCAGACCCAAAGGCCAGGTTCAACCGCTATGGCAGTTCAACTCAATCGCTGGTTCATGACCGTGGCACCACATCCCAAGAAGGAATATGTATATGGATTTCCGTATTGCGTGCATGTATATATATATATATAAATGTGTGTGTGTGTGTAAACTGCTGGGGTATTTGTATACCATCCAAGATCATCCAAGAATGTTGAATCGCTTCCACAACCTGGCCCGTCACCCATCTCAACCATCTCACCTGCCCAGCAGGCTCTCTGCGCGCGAAGTCATGGGTCCACCTGCAGTGTCGGAGAACCCAAGAGGAGTTGGTGGGGTTTCCGAAAATCTGGAGCCAGCTGAAAAGCCACCAGGCACCCCAGGTTGACTGGCCTCGGTCTGCAAAGATGTCACCAAAACCTATATCGAATCGATTCCCGTCAGTTAGAGATTTACCCAGAAAAATCTTGGGCAACAAGAAATTTAGCATTCAGAGCGTCGCCAGTTGCCAGTTGCCATAACTAGGCTTCTCAGGTGGCCACAGGAGTCATTCCTGCTCCCGGAGCCACCCCGGGCAGCCCCGGAACAGAGGGCGCTATGCCTGGCCAAGGATCACTTCGCAACGTTTTGGGGCCGACCCACCTATTGGACCTATCGATTTCCAGTACCGCAATAGCCACTGTGTTGTGGATTGGGGTCATCCCGGAGTCATCCCACTCTGCTCAAGCCGTTGGGATCTCCGAAGCCACTCCCAATCATCCCAGCCGCATGCCACACCTGCTTTCTCTGCTAACGCCTGATGCAAAAGATCGGGTGAATATGCATCTCTCTTAGGTATGCATGTTGGAGTAAACTAAACGGTTAAATACAGTTTATATATATATATATATACGGGTCAACCATTTACTCTATCAGCTGATGCTTCCGCGCCTACACACACTACCGTGGCATTTGTAGAAATCGCAGAGATGACGCCCCAGCCACGCAGCACCCACCACAGTACAATGTTCTCAAGGCTTATGGCATCAAAAAACAGAGTCCGGGAAAAGCTGGAAGACTTTCAGGCGTTTCGGTTTGTTCTGAACTTCCGGCAACAAACTGCCGGATCTTGATTCCACGGATAAAAATCACCCAAAAAAACAATCCAAACTTTGGTCCAACTCGTTTTTTCCATGTTTTCCCCTCCGTTTCGAACTCGATGTTTTCCCGCGTTTTCCCTCAACTCCGCTGAAATCCATGGCACCGCCATGACGCTGGAGGGCGGTCCGCCCGGCGGCGCCGGATTGCCATGGGAAAATTTGCAGCGATCACCACCTCGGTGGACGGCCACGGACCACGGTCCAAAGTTGAAGGCGTCGAAAATGTAACCTTTCATGGGGGTTTCCATACATGGGGGTAACCCCAAATGGTTGGTTTATTTCATGGAAACCCCTACTAAAATGGATGATTTGGGGGTACCCCCATTTCAGGAAACCTCCAAATCTGCGTAAAGCGAGGCGTAAAACGATGCGGAAATCGTTCTAACCAGTCATCGACTCATCTGTTTCATTGATCTAAACTGAAGCGAATCGGAACCTAACATAATTTATCTATCAGCTAGTTAATTAAAAAAAAAAAACGTTTGACCATCTAATCGAATCGAATGAGAACCTGACCTAATCTATCTATCAGCTAGTTGATAATTGTCCCTATTTGCAGACGGATATGATTCTGTATATGTTTGTCCATCTCCCCAATATCTCTCTCTCTCTCTCCGTTCATCCAATTATATTTCAATCCCTTTAATCTATCGATCTCTCTCTCTCTCTCTGTGCTCATGACCATGCTTGATCTGCAACATTAAAGCCACTTATCACCAATTGCCAATTTCTGTTGTCAGGAGGCGAACTTTCCGATACGATCACATAATCCAGCGGCCAAGGCCCTCACGACTGCAAACACCTCGTCGGAAGTCGCCACACATCTCCATGGACTGCGCAGCAGGGGGTGCTTCGACGTGCTGGCAATAGGGAAACCGTTGGAACCCAATTTTTAAGCTGCAAATTAAATAAAGTCATCTGCTCTCATGCTGCCTCGAGATTCATGAACCATCATGAACCCACGCCCAGGTTGGTCAACGATCTGGGGCTACAGCAACTAAACCCTGGTAGTTTAGTATTGGTTCTGTTCATGAATCGTAGGGCCCTGATTGGAATATAATTTTATATCTTTCTTGGGCAGCCTTAAACTGGAAATCAAGGTTTTAAGTTGTTTTTCATGTTTTTCGTTTTCATTTACATTTGTTTTCATAGAATTATCGTTTGTTTTTCATTGCCAAAATGTGTTGTCATATTGATTTCCATTGGGATTTTGTATCATTAGATTCTAATTATCACATCATCACCATCATCAGCATCGTCCGGACGCTCATTGAGAGTTCGGGCAAACCTTAGGGTCTTGCCGTAATATCATTATAGAGAAGGGATTGTCTTATTATCAATTCATCCTGTCCGGGAAATTGAAATCTCCCATCAACTACCAGGACACCTTCCTTCTTGCACAGTTTCCTGAAACTGCTACTTATTTTGATAGATCAAATCATGATCAATCAGAATCAAAGCCAAGGCATGTTCTATTTTCAGGTCGACCCAAATTATGAACTGTTTGAATCTGCTTGAATCTGCTTGAATAGTTATAAATTTCCCCAATTTTGCGGGTCCATTGGTACCGGCTCAGCCTTGGCTCAGCCTTACACCCAACCCATAGGTGCCTGATTCCGAACAGCGTTGACCTGGCAACGGTCTGACGGTCTCGGAAAAGAAAGAAACATGAACCGACTGATGTCCCACGATTTGACGTTTATGACACAAATATAATATTATATATATAATATTATATATATACATACATATGTTTGTGCTCTTTCCTGCTAACGTGTGATGTTGTGTGTGTGTGTGTATGTGTTGCGATCTTTCTCTTCAGTCCTCTAATTGATGGTCGAGCCTTAAGAATTCAGTGTCATAGATGGTGACGGCTTCTGTCAAAGACTCTGGGTTCGAAGTCCAAGATCACTTGCCGCCATTCTCGGGCTGTAATATCTGTAATACATGAGAAATCACATGCTTGCTGATCAAGATTTTGTCGGCGGCTTCGGAGTGTTGACATATGTTGAAATGGTTTCATGGTTCGTCCTAGTGTTCCGCACAGACTTGTGAGGTGTTGATTAGTATATGCCTCACTTTTGACAAAAATTCAGCTGTTGAAGTACCCGAGACAGGTATTCTTGCAAATCAAGGAGCAACGAAACGTAACCAACGGATTACATAGGATTACATAGGATTACTGATTGTTGATGGACCGGGGCCATTTTCAATTTGTAAGGGGATGCCTGCTTGTAGTATTCCAGTGTCAATATGCAGTCACCATACACGTTGGAGCCGACAATTAAAAGTTGCATTGTATTGTTGACACCCATCATAAGCCAAACAAATTTGTTGCTACCATTTGTTTTTTGTTTGTTGAACATTGGAAAACACAGTAGCAATCCTAACAATAGTAGTAGCAACAATGCTAGTAATCATAGGAGAAATGATCATAAATAACGGAAGGAAGTTTAGAAGTCAAACTTCCGACAATATGGACAAATGAAAAGCAGAGATGGGAAGAGTCAGAGAGAAGAGAAGAGTAGAAGAGAGAAGAGCAGAAGAGAGAAGATCAGAGAAGAGAAAGAGTCAGAAGAAAGAAGATGCAGGTGCGCGAAAAGGTAGGAAAGTCGCGAAAGACTGTGTTTTTTCCTATGATTTGTGGCTCCGGAGGGTCGAAAAGTAGGCTCGCTAAAGCGGCGGGCGCGGAGCCATCTGGCCAGATAAGACAGACAGACAGACAGACAGATTGATTGATTGGCTAGGTAGATAGACAGACAACAACCAAAAACAACAACAACAACAACAACAACAACAATCACGACGACAACAACAACCACGACGACAACAACAACCACGACGACAACAACAACCACAACGACGACAACAACCACAACGACGACGACGACGACGACGACAACCACAACGACAACCACAACGACAACACAACGACAACCACAACGACAACCACAACGACAGCACAACGACAACCACAACGACCACGACCACAACAACGACAACAACAACAACAACAACTTCAACTCCTACTCCTAGTCCTACTCCTACTCCTACTCCTATTACTACTCCTACTGCTACTCCTACTACTACTCCTACTCCTACTCCTACTCCTACTCCTATTACTACTCCTACTGCTACTCCTACTACTACTCCTACTCCTACTCCTACTCCTACTCCTAGTCCTAGTCCTAGTCCTAGTCCTAGTCCTACTACTACTACTACTACTACTACTACTACTACTACTACTACTACTACTACTAGAAACTACTACTACTACTCCTCCTACTCCTACTCCTACTCCTTCTCCTACTCCTACTCCTACTCCTACTCCTACTACTAGTCCTACTCCTACTCCTACTCCTCCTCCTACTACTCCTCCTCCTCCTACTCCTCCTGCTCCTACTCCTAGTCCTCCTCCTACTCCTACTCCTCCTCCACCAACACCAACACCAACACCAACACCAACACCAACACTGGACCAACACCACACCACACCACACCACACTACACTACACTGCACTGCACTGCACTGCACTGCACTGCACTACCTCCTAATACTACTACTACTACTACTACTACTCCTCCTCCTACTACTACTCCTTCTACTAGTACCATTACTACACTGCTGCTGCTGCTACTACTACACATACACAACACTATATTGCACTAATTACGCTACATTACATTAATTACACTACACTACGCTGCAACTACAACTACTGGACGCTATACATTACAACTACAACTACACTACTTCACTCACACTTACACTACACCACTGCAACCATTGCAACCACTCCAAAACACACAACTCCAACCACCTGTCGGTCCATCAGTGGATTCGCTCTGCCATCCATGAGTCACAACAACCAACCTCTCCTATATAGGTTTCCTATTTCTGAAACTTCCGCCACCGCCTTCTGCGGTACTACTGGTAAGTAAAAATTGCAATCCAATAGTAATGTGGGGCTTCTTGGGGGTTCTTTTTGGTGGTTCTTTTTCGGGGGTTCCTATTGGGTTTCCCACCAAAAACCACCATCCCAGAGCCCATTTTGGCCTTGTCCACAATACCAGTTGCAGGTCCAATGGTCCCGCCTCAAGCTGAGCATATATGGAGGCAGCGAGAGGGGGGCAATGCAGTGCAGTGCAGCACATGTAATGTAACGCATCATGTAATTATATGTATATGTAACATGTACATGTATAGTATATGTATGTGGCACGTGTGGCATGTGTGGCATGTGTGGCATGTGTGGCATGTGGGGCATGTGTGGCATGTGTGGCATGTGTGGCATGTGTGGCATGTGTGGCATGTGTGTGTGTGCGCATGTGCGTGTGAGTGTGAGTGTGTGAGTGTGCGTGTGTGTGTGTGTATACATGCACATGTGCGAGCATACAAATGTGTGATGTGTGTATATATGAAACAGAGTGCGGATAAAGTTATCGGCCTCAATTGCCTTGAAAACTCCTATGTTTCAAAAAAACACGTCATCCTATGATGTATTCCTTATCATGTCTCGCCCGAATCCCTTTCCGCCTGCCTCGGGCAACAAAACGCCCCTGCTCCATCTCTGTCAGTTTCACTGAAAGCAATCCGGGCGGGTTTCGCGCAGTCCTTGGACGCTCTGCCGCTCTGCCCTTATGTGCAAAATAAACTGCACGTGGCGATGGCAAGTCAAAAATGTTGCGCATTCAATCATTTCCATCACCTTGAATTGGGGCGGCGCTGCCTGAACACAGTTATTTCATGTTATTTCACCCCAACTGAAGCATAAGACACTTGAACATACTCTACATAGCACCCTATGCCTATACCGGTCCTACGTTCCAATGCTAAACCATACAACGCCATACTGTTCTGAACTGCAGCGTGTGCTGATCTTACCCCAAAAAAAAAGCCGTGGCCAAGCGCCCAAACGCCATGATGTCTCGAAGTGTCGCCATGTCCTCAGGGTTCCACCATGGGGAGGGCATAAATTCAGGGTGTCTATTTCCTGTTTCTGAGGGTGGTTTCGTCAGTCTCGGTCATATCTCAATAGAGCAACTAGATGTGACCCAAATCAATCAAATGAAATCAATCGTTCGCAGGGCTCCATGGGTTGATCCCACCGCTTGGCTGCGAACGTCCCAAAAACTCGTCGCCTTGGTCATGCCCAGACGCCGGCAATGTGTGATGGCCATTTGATGGGGCAGCGGGGCATGCAACAGTCACAAGGCTTCCGGCACGTCGAGTGAGGACTTCGCTCAATCTCACTCGGATCCTGCAGCGAACATTGGTCCCTGTTGTGAGTTGCGCAAATGCCACCTTCGTTTGGAAGAAGGGATTCAAAAGCTAGTCCTGGAACCCCGGAATGATATATAACAAAATATGACAAACGTGCAAAATCGCCACAAAGGCTGGCATTCACCCACTACACAATTTGTAAGTCTCTGTTACATCCTGCGAGCCCACCCTGCTGTGGTCCGGAAGCTAACCCAGCATCTAGCGCCTGTCGTCCAGGTTGAACTTGGTGACCAATGACATGATCTCCCCTGGGGTGCAAATCATTTCAGGCATTGGAAACAGCAGAAATCCAAAAAATCGGATACATCTGCGAGCAACCTGGAGAAAATCCGCCCAAATTGATTTCACAGCCCCCCCCTGTCGGTGAACTGCAGAGAAAGCCTCGGCGCCAGGCCTTGCATGACAGCAGCATCTGGAGGAGGTTGATCTGAAGGACGTGGTTGCGCCTGGTCTACCCGCAGTTCCACGACGGGTTGAGGGAAATGGTCTCCATCACTGGCAAGGGAAAGAAACAAAGAAAATGCTCGCAGCCTCGAACCACATGAATAGCCCATTGATATTCAAGCAATATTCCCTTAATATTAATCGTCCATTAAATGATGTCTTCTCCAAGAAGGGAAGCTCCAACAACCACCAAGTCCACTTCCGGATTTTCCAGCGCCTTCTCGTGAGCGAAACGGCAGTTGTCGCCTCGAGAACAGAAGCCTTGCCACGATGCCACGGGTGCCACAAAGCACCGAGCTTTGAGAGAAGCTTGCATCCTACCATTCCTACCATCCAACATATGGCATGTGGAACTCCAAGCGGTCCAAGCGGTCCATGCGGACGCAATGACATCATCATATAGAGTAAGCGATTCAAACATATGCTTGTAAATGAAACACCCCAAAGCGTTTCATCCATGTGTTTCTTTTCGCAAATGCATCTCTGCATTTCCCAACAATGCGGGACTGTGAATAACTGATGGCAGGGACTGCAACTGTTCTGTCTGCATGTGCGTGATGGCGTTTGTTTTCTCAATTTGGGTGCATAGGCTTTCCCCATGAAAAAATCACAAGCATAACATATCAATCCAAGAAAGATGTCCCCATACGATGTACCCTGTCGTTTCATCTTTTTTCTACAGTATGTCGCTCACCACCTTTAAAAGGACTGAAACCAAAACGAGAAAGAGAGATGACCCTCCGGCAATCTAACCTGGCAATAGGACAGAAGAAAAGAAACATAGGAAACATCTAAATATGGAATTTCATGGTCATCGATAGCCTCGCATCAGTCACCACAACTGGCCTCGCTGGAAGTCGCCACACATCTCCGAACTCCTGCCCGTGTCATAAATGATTCCATATCCCACCATCTTCAGGGCTCCTGATGATTTTATCATGATTTATCAACCTGAAATTAGGTCATTTCTCGATAGTTCCTGCTATGTACCATTACATGTGTATATATATATATATACTGAGAAGTTCTGGCTCTACCCCTACCAGCGGTGGACTAGTTTTCCGCAGAAAGTAGAGAGACCGTTTTCCCAACCATGGACCTTCGAGTGCGGGAAGTTCCCCATGGCAGCATCTTCTCAATTGTTGCTGAAGTAACCGGTGTACATGATGGTTGTTTGCATTGCTCCGGCCTGTCTCCAGCTCAGCAGTTCTTCGTCCAGGGTGCACCGGACATCAAGCTTGGCATCTATACCTTTTATGACCTGGTGCGCTCCAGGGGGGACTCACCTGTTTGCCATTTTGGCACCAATACGGAAGCTTTGCCCCATTTGCCCAAAAAGGAATTTTCGAAGATGGTTCTTTTCGATGTTTGTAGTGGAATGGGAGGGTTCACGATTGGTTCCCAACTTTTGGGAGTGCAAACACTTGCATTCATTGAGAAAAACTCACTGGCCTGTGAAGCGTTGAGGGCCAACTTCACCAGCCCGGTGATTCAGGGAGATCTGGCTGACATCCAGGTTTTGAAGCAGGTGCATCATCTCAAAGGTGATCATTTTCTCCAGATCACGGGTGGCTTCCCATGTCAAGGATTTTCACGCCAAGGTGATCAATTGGGTATGGATGACCATCGCAGTCATTGTCTTTACCACATTTTGAACTGCGCATGGCTTTTGCAAGCAGATGATGTGCTCCTGGAATGCGTGGCCAATGTGACTCAGTTTAGGGATACCATGGATTTTCTTGAACAATATGCTGAGCACGCTCACATGCATTGCAGGAAACTCACTTTCGATTTGCAGAGCCAGTGGCCAGTGCGAAGGAATCGCTTCTGGTGCCACCTGATTGACAAGAACCTTCCAAACTTCCCTCTTCCTGAGTGGCCTCGGACTGATGAGTTCGCCTTGTTGGGTCATGTCATGCCGTTGGATGCCATTTGGTCCATTTCTGACGAGCAGCAACTGGAATGGGATGAGAGTGAGATGTCAATTTATGGAAATCCAGCATATGGTGATGATCAGCGTGTTTTGACCTCAGACTCCAAGGCTCCCACTTTCCTTCACTCTTGGGCACATGTCAATCGGCCATGTCCTTGTGGATGCCGACAAGCCTTCAGTGAAGCACGCCTCCGACAAGGAGGTGCCAGAGGATTTGGTTTGATTTCCAGTCGCACTGGTCGTTGCCGTCATCTTCACCCAGAAGAAGGTGCGCTTCTCTGCACCGTGCCACCTTCATACCGCTTTCCTATGCCTCCAAGATCAGCCTTGTGCCTTTTGGGACAAATCGCAGCGCCACTGCAAGTGTTGTGGCTACAAGCACACATCCTTGCCGGCCTCCAACAGCATTTCTGGGGTTGGACTTGCATTGACCCCAAGATATGTGTCAAAGTCCTACAAGATCAACTTGTTGCACATTCTCAGCACCTTTGGATGACACAGCGGATGTTCCAACACAGATCCATCACCCTGCAGCTCGAGGATGGTGAGCAGCCCTTTGAGATCTTCATTGTCAATCCTACCACTGTGCGTGAGTTGGCTTTGGCAGAGAAAGCATTGAGTGGATGGGGGCACTATGCTGTGATCAGTCTTCATGGACAACGGATGCCAGCACACGCCTTCCTCTTGCCTGGCTACACCTACAAGGTGGAGATCCGCAAAAGTGCTCAGGTGCTGCCTTTTCCTGGGGCCTTGGACGTTTCTGGCGGTGGTCTCAACAACAACAGCAGGTGCCTGGGAGACAAGTTGATTTGGGACATCATGAACGAAATGGTGGACAGTCTACTGGATTGCTCCGAAGTGGCCCCATTCATGCTCTATCCCTTCCAGATCAGCCATCTTCAACGATGTGATCCTCCGGCAGCTTTTACCCAGGTTTGGCAACGTCTTCACAGAAAATCTTCCAAAGATGTCCTTACCATCTGTGAGATTGACGGCCATTGGATTTTGCTGGTCGGCACTTACCAGCAGGAATTTGGACTTCAGTGGACTCTTTACGATGGACTTCGACAGAGTCACCTGCTGGACACGGCGAGCCCTGCGGTGAAAAAGCTTTGCCAGCTTTTGGACTTGGATTTCCTTGGACTTGCTGAGGGTCTTGGACTTCAACAGACCCATCCCTTCACCTGCGGCACCGTGGCATTACTCCAGATGGCGTCACTCCTGGGCCTCAGACTGCCTTCCCAGGCTGGCATACTGATTTTGCACCTGCAGTTGCTGGACCTCCAACGAGATGGACATATCTTCGCAGCAGGACCTGATGACGTTCAAAAGCAGCTCACTCTTCTGCTGTCTGACAAAGGGGTCCCCCTGGCCTCTGCTCCTGACCGGGCTCAACAAGTCATCAGCAAGCTTGGGCTCAAGCAGGTGACCAATATTCTCCAACACAAGCACCCTTGGGCCGATTTGAAGGCGTGCGCAAGCAAGCCAGGGACGATGTTTCGACTGGTTACGCAGGACGAACAAGCAGCCTATGTGGCCATGCGTGCCCAGACCAAGCATGGGGCACAAATCAAGAACCACAAGCACAAGAAGGCACACCGATCTGCAAAGATTCCTGAGTCGATGCATCTGGACCCTGACCAATTTGAGCTTGACAGTGCACACTTCAAGGATGAGTCCGACCTTCCTGTTGGACAGATTGCTTTCTCTGATGTTGGCGCAGATCAGCGTGGTGTGGCACTATGCACAAAGGCCATGGCCCAACACTTCCTTGACGCGCCCAAGTCCATCAGCATTGAGGCCCTGGCACTGCTGCTGGTTGACACCCCTGAGCAAGAGCAGATTCAAAATGCCAACCTCAAACCTATTGTCATTCCAGCCAAATGCTGTGGCACCAACGAGCACACCTTGATCTTTGGTCACATCCAGCAACTTGGAGATTCGGCAGTCAGCCGCAACCTTGCCGGAGAGGAATCCAGTCCTGACATCATTGACACACAGGTGATCAAGTTCCAGGTTTTCAGAGACCAACTTCAAGCTGATTGGCAGGACTTCATCACTGCTCCTATCAGAGCACTTGTTCAACGCATGGAAGCTCTGCAGCTCTGCAGAGGACAGAATTATGGGGCAGACTGTGCGAAGTTTCATCCTGGGCTTGATGAACACATGGACAGCGTGATCTTTGAGATCTGGGCCAGAAGCTTCTTCAATGACCAGGGACACAAGACTCAGGCTCGTGACTCTAGTCTGTTCACAGTCTTCATGCGAATCCCAGAGGGTGCCCTGGACAAGATTTTGACTAGCACCCCAACTGGAGTCTATGCAGAGCCTCGTGGCCAGCAACCTCAAGAACCTGACCAGATGTATCGTGTGGTCTGGCTGCCAGGGACCAGCTTCACAGAAGCGACTCACAAATGTCGCACATTCTCCAAAGCAATTTGCCTGGTACGAATGAGACAAAAATATGGAGTCAGAGTACTACGTGAAGATGAAGGTGCAGCCTGGGCACACCTGCGACCAGGCATTGAATATGTTGAGCTGGACATCCAATTGATCTTTGAGCTCTTTCCTCTACCACATGGTACTCAAAGGCAAGCGGTCTGCAAATTGCTCAGTGACTGGGGATGGGCTGCTCGACCTTTGCAACCAGGACGAGGGTCTCATCGCCATATGGCTTGGCGAGTCGGTGCTTCCAGTCAACCACCCCATCAGATCATGCAAGGTTTTCAACAAGATGTGGTGATCACCCAGGTGAAGGATCTGAAGCAGCAGACCAAGCAGCCACAGCTCATTGCTTCGACACGCACACAGAAGCATTTGCGAGCTACTCCTTCTACTGCCACATCATCCAAAACATCAGATCCTTGGTTGGACTCTGCTTTTGATCCATGGGCCAAAGCAAAGCCTTCAACGACTTCAGCTGGAGACAGTCGTCCACGGCTTGATGAGATCAAAGACCAGCTCTGCCAGGACATCAAGTCCAAGGTTAGCAAGGACATTGAGTCAACGGCACAGGAGGTTATCAAGGCAGCGGCTTCATCTTCTTCTCAGGCTGCTCAGACTGACGAGAAGAGATTGCAAGCGCTTGAAGTAGGCATGCAAGAATTGAAAGGCCAGAATGCTCAGATGTCCACCTGGTTCCAACAAGCAGGAGAAAGAATGCAGGCCAATGAAAATGCATTGGGAGCGGTTCAACATACATTGAATGCTCATCAACATGAAATCCACACGCTGGGTACAACGTTCCAGAGCACCATGAAGACGATCAAGAATGACTTGTCCACCGAGATGACAGACTCCTTCAACAAGCAGCTCAGCCGTCTTGAAGCCTTGTTGGAGAAGAAGCAGAGATCAAGTTGACTATGGCACTTCGGCTCTGAGCATGGATCAACTCAGAGGCCGTGCTACAACAGAAGATCCAAGTACAATATGCCTTGGTTCCTGCTTTGGATCATGGTGCTTTTTTCACCAGTGCAGGCTCTCCAGCATGGACATCCCTTTGCCCGGTGCTTCCTCATCAGCCCAGCAGCTACGGCTGGCTGGGATTTTGGGTCGGGGGATGATTCATGCAACGTTCCTGAGCCACATGGTTTTTCTTTCCTTTATGATGGGGACTCCCGAGCCATTTCCTCTAGCACATCGCCGACAGCTGGAGCGCATAGATTTGGAGAGGCCAGACATCCTGGCCCTAATCCGGGGAATCAACTGACTGTGGGCGTCAGCAATCCAAGCGGACTCCGGCAGAAGGAGGATGTGCTTTTGGGACTTGGACCTGGCATTTGGTCCCTTGCGGAGACTCAACTCTCCAACCAGACTTTCAAAACGTGCTCTGGCATCCTGCGTAAAGGAGCACGTACTTTGAATCGTGAGATACGCTTTCATGGCGGCTCACCAGCACCACTACGACAAGGCTCACAATGGGCTGGCAAATGGACTGGGGTGGCT